TGCCATAGAAGACCTAATGATAGTGCCTGACAAAACCTCTGAGGTTGCAGACCTTCTAAAGAAGCTTCCAGACCTTGAGAGACTACTGAGTAAAATTCATAATGTTGGGTCTCCCCTGAAGAGCCAGAACCACCCTGATAGCAGGGCTATAATGTATGAAGAAACCACATACAGTAAAAAAAAGATTATTGATTTTCTTTCTGCTCTGGAAGGATTCAAAGTAATATGTAAAATTGTGGAGATTATGGAAGAAGTTGTTGATGACTTTAAGTCTAAAATCCTCAAGCAGATCATCACTCTGCAGACAAAAACTCCTGAAGGCCGCTTTCCTGATTTGACTGTAGAACTGAACCGATGGGATACAGCCTTTGACCATGAAAAGGCTCGAAAGACTGGATTGATTACTCCCAAAGCAGGATTTGACCCAGATTACGACCAAGCTCTTGCTGACATAAGAGAAAATGAACAGAGCCTCTTGGAATACTTGGAGAAACAGCGCAGTCGAATTGGCTGTAGAACCATAGTCTACTGGGGAATTGGTAGGAATCGTTACCAGTTGGAAATTCCAGAGAATTTCATCACCCGTAATTTGCCAGAAGAATATGAGTTGAAATCCACAAAGAAGGGCTGTAAACGATACTGGACCAAAACAATTGAGAAGAAGTTGGCTAGTCTGATAAATGCTGAAGAACGGAGAGACGTATCTTTGAAGGACTGCATGCGGCGACTATTCTATAACTTTGATAAAAACTACAAGGACTGGCAGGCTGCTGTAGAGTGCATCGCAGTGTTGGGTAAGGCATCCTTGACAGGCTTGTCCCTAAAGCTTTGGTTAGTAATGTTCTGTTTCCTAATTGCATATTGAGACTTAAGTCCATTGGAGAGTTCACACTGACGTATCTCTAAACTCAAGTAACAGGTATATATTTTGGTCAAATTTCAGTTGAATTTTTAGTGTTCGATAAATGCTGTTTTTGAGCTTCTATTTTTTGTTACACTAATTTAAAGCTATCCCTTGACTTAACACTTATAGTTTTTACTTACATATATCTTTGCATTTTTTATTTCAGTGACTCTCTCTACATGCATATTTCAAAAGATTTTACTCTTCCTTTTTTCTCTTAGCCAAAGTTGTCACATTTTCTTTTCTGCAGTTGATTTCTAAGAGTCCTGATTTATGTATTTGTAATTAGGTAACCTTTTCAGCTTTAAATTCCTTGGGGGGGAAAAAAAACTTCCTGGCCAGCTAATTTGGAGCTTTTGCTTGTTTTACAGTTTTGGGTTGTTTTGTGTTTTAAGAATATAGCAACCATAGTTTACCCAAATTTATGACAAAACTATTTTAGCCTCCACATAACTCTCCGGAATAGAATGGCATCCTGTTCTGTGTTTGAGTGTGCCCCATTTATTCCTGAGGCCAATATAGCTTCAAATAATTGGGTGGATAAACTTAAAATCTTCTCTAAGTATAGGTGTTCAAAGTTGAATATATTTTCCTTTTGAGATTGTGCCTGTTGTCAGAACATTCTGCTTCTAAGAATAGAAGCTTAGTTTCTGTTCGCTCCAGGACTATATCAAGAAAGATCAGTAGGTTTGCATCTCTGTTGGATCTTTTGGCTTCCCTTTGGCCTTCCTCTGGTCCACATGTTAGGGGACTGAAACCTACTTTGAGGGGATTCTTGGGCTGAAATTGAAAGCTATGCCTCATTTCAGTGCAAATACTATAATGAAGACATGTAAAACATGTAAGCTGGTGACTCATTTTCAGCTAATGAATCCATTAACAAAGCATTTTGTTAGAACAATGTTACCAGAGCGCCTACTGTTAGAAAAAAGCTGCCATGTCTAAAGAGCAAGAAGGTAGAATACAATCACCTCCACTGCATTTTTGGAAGACTTTATAAAAGTTGGGTCTTTGTGCTTAACAAAGAAACCTCAAAAATGATGACTCCTCACTTTTTCCCTTTCTTTAACAGATGTCTTACTGTGCCTGGCTAACTACAGTCAAGGGGGTGATGGTCCTATGTGTCGTCCAGTAATTCTGCTGCCAGAAGAAGATACTCCTCCCTTCCTAGACCTTAAAGGATCACGTCATCCCTGCATTACAAAGACTTTTTTTGGTGATGACTTTATTCCTAATGACATTCTAATAGGCTGTAAGGAAGAAGAGGAGGAAAATGGCCAAGCTTATTGTGTGCTTGTTACTGGACCAAATATGGGGGGCAAGTCTACACTCATGAGACAGGTAAAGTAAACTTAAAAGTTTTGTTACACCAAGTCATCTGTAACACTTTGAGTGAATTACGTTTGTAAGCCATCCTTTTCCAAGTAGCACATGATAGAATTCAGTCACTGATCTCTTCGGAAGCAAAGGGAAACTCCTGGAGTTACAGAACTGAGAATTGTATTCATCTCACTGGTCAAATATTTGATGTTAAGGGAAGTATACATTAGGAAGGTGAAGGTGGTTTTGGGCCATGATATTTTAAGAGCTCTTTGACTTTGAATTCATCTCCTCTGAAGGTTAGATGTATTCATAATGAATGAAGATTATGCAAATACTATGTTTGTCCTTAATTAAGATCCATTTCTAGGAAGACCTACATGAACCACTGCAGACTTACTCAGATAAGAAAGTAAATACAATTTATGGCCTAGTTAACTGCTAGGAACTCTTTTTAAGGAAGATAAATATATTTGTCTAACCTTTATGCCAGAGGTTGGCCAGCTACTGAACTAAACATGATTTTTAGAGGGTTGTAGGGGAAAAAATGTGTTGACAGACATTGGGCTCTTGACAGAAGATGTCTGCTGATCCCCTTGGCTCTACTGCACTGTATTATATACTTCTGTACAAATTTGCTAACTAGAGGGAGGCAATAGTGTAGTGAGGTGGTTTTCAGCCTCCTTTTCATTTTAAAAGCAAAATCATCTAGAGAGTGCAACAAAAAAGTGCCTGTGAATTGGGGTGGGGGTGTGTTCATCCTCTGAAATCAATTAGCTTGTTCTGGAGGCATCAGTAGTTTTAAGGCAAATCCCAAGTGATTGTACTGTATAGCCAGGGTTGAGATTCAGCCCTGTAGAGTAGTGGGTTAGCACTAAGGTTTTAAGGTCAGTTAGGCCTTTTCCTATGTAGGTTGTGAAGATTTTTTTTCAGAGTGCTTGGACTTCTCCTAGTTAGTATTTATTAGCTTGACTTACTATCTGTCTTCTGGATCTCTCTGTTCTTTAATACCAGTCATAAAAGACCTTTTCCTCCCTCATTCACAGGCTGGCCTGTTAGCTGTAATGGCCCAGATGGGTTGTTATGTACCAGCTGAAGTTTGTAGGCTCACACCAATCGATAGAGTGTTTACTAGACTCGGTGCCTCAGACAGAATAATGTCAGGTGAGGTGTTTTTTTCCCCCCACCTAAGGCTTTATTATTTGACAATTCATTTCTATATTTTAAGTCATTTTCTAAATTTCATTTCTAAATTTAAGTGCCTTTAAATTTGATGTTTCATTTCTCTCCCTCTGGTGTTACGCAAAGCAGAATGCTTTCAGGCATTTAAAAGCATTATGCAATTATTAACATACTGAAGTAATAATCTCTTAATGAGATTAGTACCTTTAGTATCTTTCATACCACTGGGTAGTTCATAATAGAATCAAATGATATGACCTGAAAGGTGAATATACTGTTATAATAGGGTTCTTAAAATGACCACTCATTTGTGATTTTTTTTTTAAGGTGAAAGTACATTTTTTGTTGAATTGAGTGAAACTGCCAGTATACTTACACATGCAACAGCACATTCTCTGGTGCTTGTGGATGAATTAGGTAAGACATTAAAATTAAAACACACAATTATTTTTCTGGAAAATGGTCTGAGGGACATCTCTTAAGAACATGAATATACTCACCTTTGTCTATAGACCCCATAGTTGGAGAAAATTAAGAAATTAATCCTATGAAAATGTTATAATGTAGGGGAAAATGTTACAATGTAGGGATAATGAAAATATTTATTGGATAATGAGGCTATTTAAAGAGAACTAAAAGGAAGTTTCTGAAGCACAGTGAAAGTTTCTGAAGCGCAGTGGTACTTGGATCATATTCTTTAAAACTCCAAGGGCTGCTAGGCACTGTTTTAGCTAAATAGGGCCTGCTTACAGAATGCTTTTGGATGTACAAACTAATGTTAGTGGTTTTTTTTTTTCCATTCCTTTGTGAGGCACATCCTTCTTGGAATGTAATAAGGCAGATTGTCTAATACATAGTTTACGTATATTTTACTGTCCTAGGAAGAGGTACTGCAACATTTGATGGGACAGCCATAGCGAATGCAGTTGTTAAGGAACTTGCTGAGAATATAAAGTGTCGTACACTGTTTTCTACCCACTACCATTCATTAGTTGAAGACTATTCTCAAAATGTTGCAGTGCGCCTAGGACACATGGTATGTGCAAATTGTTTATTCAAAAGTTGAATAGGTTTTTGAATGGGTCTGCCATTGCTAGTATGTGAATGTAATTATTTTTTTCTTTTGTAGGCATGCATGGTAGAAAATGAATGTGAAGATCCCAGCCAGGAAACTATTACCTTTCTCTATAAATTCATTAAAGGAGCTTGTCCTAAAAGCTACGGCTTTAATGCAGCAAGGCTTGCTAACCTTCCAGAGGAGGTTATTCGAAAGGGACATAGAAAAGCAAGAGAATTTGAGAAGATGACTCAGTCACTGCGATTATTTCGGTAATTATAATTGCATATGATTTTACCATTTAGCTGACCTTGCTAAAACAGTAAAGGGAGCTGGGTAACGCGATGTGGAAAATGTAAACTAAAACTTTTTTTTTTTTTTTAATTTTTAAGGGAAGTTTGTCTGGCTAGTAGTGAAAGGTCGACTGTAGCTGCTGGAACTGTCCGTAAGTTGCTGACTTTGATTGAGGACTTATAGAGAGACTACATTGGAAGCTTTTGAGTTGACTTTTGACAAAGGTGGTAAATTCACACAACATTATGATCTAATAAACTTTATTTTTTAAAAATGACCATTTTTCCATTTTCTTTCTAGGAAATTAAACCCTTTTAATTCTTACCTACCTTCTACATAATGGTTATTGAATACTCCACAATATATTAAGTCTAGATGTTATGGTACATGCATACACTTTCAGGCTGTTTATACCCACTGTCACCAATACACATAAATGGGGGGGAGCTATGAAACTGTATAGGGCTGTATATATACTTGTCTCAGCTTAATGCAGGAAATTGTGTTAATTTCCAGCAGTTTGTCTAAACTGTTCAAAAAAAAACTATGAACAGAGGTCAAATACAGGACTGTTTTGAAGAGACTTTCTAAAGTACTTTTAAAACATAGTAGTTTTTTACCTTTCACAAAACTGAGTTACAAGAATACTTTTGTTTTACAGTGCATCCCTTCCTAGGAAGTCTCATTAAAACACTCACTTTTCTAGGGGTGGTTTTGAATGCTGCACAGGGAAGGGAAGGAAATAATAGTCTTAACTTTTCTTAAAGGATACCAGAAACATTGCTGGATATAATTTAAGATTAGTGTTTTCTCTTTCATAGAAAGAACGTACATACTGGGACATGAGTACAGTTACAGCAAGTCTAGGTGTGCTAACAAAACAGGGCACATTCAAGTACAATAAGATTTTGCTTGAAATTAAAAACAAACTACATGAGATTAAAGCATTAAAATCATATTTCTCAATCTGAATACATGTTAAAAAAAATCAAAAGAAACGCAGAAGTGCTAGCTCACATTTTTACCATATTACAAAAGCAATTGGTACCCACGTCCATAAAGGCAGCAACAAAGCTGCTTGTCTGTTGAAGAGTACTGCTGCAAGCCGGCCTGCATTCAATGCTAGCTGTAAAAACACCAGCTTTTTTTCAGAAGTTGGTATCTGTACAAAATTGCAGCTTATTTTCTTCGCTTCTGTCCCTTCAAAAGTCTTTTACACAGTAATGCTAAAACACCCAGCTTTGAGATCCTGAGTCAATATATTGCCACTTTCTTTTTGGTAGCTTGAGCTTCATAGTGTCAACTGACCTTGTGTATCCATTTTTAATACAGTCTCTTCCTGTAGCATGGGCACATATTTAAATCTTCCAAAAAAAATGTTTTAAGTTATGATGTTAGAATGGCAGGACTTTTTCTTTAGGGAAGGAATTCAGTTGTGCTGCAATGTATTAGATTCTATAGGTGGAGCAGAGTCATATAGTGTATCTGTATCATGTGTAGGCTCACCAGCTAATGTACAAGGATTAGACAGTGTTCCAGCACCACAGTCACAGAAAAACCTAAAGCGAAATGAAAACCCAAAAATTAGGAAAGTGAGGGGAAAATAGTTGGGTAATACAGCAAGCAAGTGTGCTACATACATACCTATCATGTCTAATAAATTCTACATCATGTCCCTGATGGCACTTCTTAATGCAGTTCACACATATGGCATTTCGATCTGTGGTGTTACAAGTGTGACATCTAAAAAAGCAAAAGCTTACATTACTTTCCTCAAACATGCTACTTACTAAATATTACAGTTTGTTTATATATTACCCTATGACCTTTGGCTTACAAGGAAAGGACCAAAACCCAAATTTTTGTGGTTCTACTCCAGATTAATTCTGAAAAGGTACTTTAATGGAATATGCAAATTTTCTATTTTTGTCTTCCAAGGAAAACAAGCACCTGTCGAGTCTTCACTGAATCAATATGGGGGAGAGGGGAGTCAAAACCCACTCACGGTGACTGGGATAAATGAACACTTTAATAATAGCTTTACTTTGAAGCTCTTAGAACAATATAAATGTTCCACATTTTCAGCAATGTAAGTAGCTACTACAGTATTACACTGTCTCGTATTTCGTGGTCCCAAACAGCATCCTCAAAAGTAGACTGGTAACAGTACTCAAAGTGGGCAATTAATAAAATTTTCATTTATTTTCACTTTCCACTAGCAAATACCCAATTTACTGTCTTAGCTCATTCATTTAAAGGAATCTAAAAATGAGGTCTTGTCAGTTTAGAAATCACCATCTCCCCCTTTTCAAGACTCAAATAATTTAGAAATAATACCTGTAGAAATCATGCATGGGATAGCTGGTGTAACTTGATATTTTATATAAACACTGGCCTCTACTAACAGCCTTTTCTATGGCATCTTGATTGTTCATTATTTTGTTATCTGTAACAAGAAAAGTAAAATTCTAAGTGTAAAGACAAAATACCAAACAGAGTGATTATTCTAACAGAAGAGTTACTTTTTAAGAGCTTTTAAAAAGGCTAACCAATGAAGCTTAGAATAAAGATAGGTTTTTCCCTTGTGCAAGATACTCCCAACTATTCAGAAGAAGTGGAAACTCTTTCAAAACAGTTCTCGAGTTGTTGGCTGTTACTGAGTGACAGAATTCAGTTAGTAACAATGGCTTCTGATTATCATCTTTTCATGGCATAGTGTGTTTATAGGCAGAACAGACTCCAACGTACCTTTCATTGTCACATTAACACCAGATGCTAAAAATAAGCCTCCAAACCGGTTGTTAAAAATCTGATTGCCTTCTAGTGTTGCAGTTGCATGATTTGTAATTTCAATACCTGAAGCAAAATTTACAAACAGCAAATGCATCACTTTATAGTTTCTTAAAAGAAACCTGAAATACAACAAATGTAGTAAACTAGTTCTTTTATATAAGAAATATATTAACTAACATTGAAAGAATAAAATGCAAATGTTTATTTGAATCATTTACAGTAACATTAACTTCCACCGTTGATAATCCATTATTCTTGCTAAAGGAAGGAATGATACAGTTCACAATTTACTTTTAATTTAGTACTGACATTATTTTAAGATTTCTTTGCGAACCAAATAGAAGACGGCTCAGAAAAATGTTTAGATAGGAGCTAGATGATTATCTGGAATAATTAAAAGTAGTCGTCTTCACTGGCAAAAAGTTGAAATATGCACAATACTGGGATTTCACTTACCAAGATCTTAAAAAAAAAAAAATTCTCTGAGACCAGAGGTCTTAGGTTTATCTGAATTTATTCCTAGTGGCAGTACTAGCCTGTATTTATTCTATCCAACTAAGGATGAGAATTAGTACTGATCTGCAAGAACAATGTAAGTTTAGCTTAGAGTGGAAGAATCCAGAACTTGGATTAGGTGTTTTCTTAAGTGACTGTTAACAGGCATTCAACCACTTTTGCAGCACATTTTGTACACCTTTAGCCATTAAGCAAAAGAACTAACACCAAGAGTCAAACAACTTAATGTACAGAAAACAGGCTACAGGTAGCAAAATAAAATACACACCTGCAGCAAATCCATCGAATATTCTGTTTTTCCTCAAGACTGGATGACTATTAGTGCTGATGAGAACACCTGCTTGAGCATTCCTGAAAATATCATTTTCTTCAAGGAGACCTATAAAATAAAATATTTCCCCAGATTAAGGCTAATGCACAGAACATTTTTAAAGTCTTTTTGGTGGTATTTAGATTTTCTTTTAGTTTCTTATTAACTGCATTGTAAAATTCACAGGATTAATTTCTCAAATGAAAAGAAAGTTTATTAGTAATTCACAAATACTTAAAGTAGGATTTAACCAGAAGTTGCTAAAAATGGCAGGTAACCATTCTAACCAATAAAGTAGAAGTTCCATGGTTGCACAGACCATGTCTAGTTTACTCACCATTGCATTCCCTGGCCCAAAGTTGATTCTCACTGAACACTGGTGAATTAATTCCTTGGAAATATTTTTAGGACCATTAAAGCTCTCCATGTTTTAAGTTCAAGCCCTGATTATTTCTGGCTATTGCCAGCATTTACTGATCAATTTCCTTAACTCCAGTCCCTATTCTGCTGCTGTTATTTTCCCCAGTTTCCTACAACTCTGTAATATCCCTTATCTGGATGTGTGGAAAGTACTTTCAGAATAAAGTTTAAAATTGCTATTTACAGCCTTTCAAAATACTCCCCCACTCTACTCCTTTGTCTCACTACATTATCTATGCTCTGAATATGCTACACATTTTTATCCCTGATGCCTTTGGTTTATATTATTTCTTCTTTGCATAAGTCCTGCACACTTTCTTCTTAATGTCACTGCCTCTGGGAGGTTTTCAGTTTCCCTCCATCAAATTAATTATTAATTTTCTCTTAAGAGTGGGTTAAGGAATCAAACTTAAGGCCTTCAAATACTGACTCCACCACTTAGAAACTCTGGGCAAATTACTTACCTTCTCTTTGTATCAGTTTCTTTATCTGTAAAATGGGCATTATAGCAGCTACCACACAGGGTTATTATGAAGATTAGATGAGTTAATACACATAAAAGTACACAGTGCTAAATAAGTATTAGCTAATATTACTCCTATAAAACCTACTTATGTACAGTGAATTACAATTAGTTGTGTACTAGTGTTTCTCTGCTACCTGAAGACATGAAACATTTTTATTTCTGTAGACATTTGACCCATCTGTAGTATTTCACAGTACTGACCTCTAAATTCCTTTTCCCCTAGAAAAAGACTATTCCAAGTCCCTGTCTCTAATCTTGCATATGTCCATTATAACCTCAAGTTCTATTGCTAACATCTGTCTAAACTGTACTGCATATATACGAAACCTTTTCATTATACTGCATATACAAACAGCCTCTTATGATTTGGGTCTTGTCCCCTTTCTGGCCTCAACTTTCTGTCCTCTTCCTTTATACTAAATCACTTCCAGTTTCTGTTTCCTTGAGATCTTTTGCTTACAATGTGCTACTCCATTAGACTGTAAACTTTCTGGATGTTTATATTTTATTCACCAGCTTATCTTTACCATCTGTATCATAGTGGTTGGTCAGAAGTGTTCAAATTAGTAAGTACGTACAAATGAAAGAGTGAAATCACTATACTTTCTACATCTGGAATGGCCTATGACCCCTGCTACTCCAATTTACCAGTAAATACTCATTTTTCAAGACAGTTCAAGAGTGATCTTACTCCATGAACCTTTCCCAACATCTTATAAATAAAGCCATTCTGTACTGTATTTCTTCATTATATCTTATAAAGAATCCTATCAGAGACATGTCACTCAATTTTAGATTAGAAACTCCTTGAGAGTCTATGTCATTAATGGAATCATTACTGCCTGGTGGCAACAGTAAATTTTGTTGATTAAATCTTGGTATGTTAGAGTGACAACTAGCTAATCTATATAAGATATGTACAATGTTGGATTACTGATATTTCAGGAATGGTGATAATATGCATTTGACATTCTCTCCCAGTCTCTCTCGATGAATAATATGCATTTGCAAGGAGCAGGGACTATGAAGTTTTGCCTCAATGCAAAGTTATCTGACCTTTATGGATACCAAACAGCACATTCTGGCTTCATTAATTCCATTCTCCACTCTCCAAAATACACAGTTGTAAACAGGTACAAAGCAATGCCTGTTTACTCTGGCCTTTTTTATATATTTAAAGACCAATTAATTTTTCACACCTAGCTTTATATCTTGACTTTGAAGTTTATTATAATCATGTCAGTTTTCTGAATTAATAAAAGGTCTAGAGAGAGAGTGCAAACAAATTCTGCTACCTTAAAAAAAGCCTACTAACAAGTGGCACACTCAAGGTGGCTACAAAAGGAAAAGTAAAATTCCATAAACATCTGTCTCCTTGAATTCTAGGCACTAATCTCCTAAACCATCTCAAGATTTGATAACGAAAAAGGCTGAGATTCTCTCATTTATAACTTCCATTAATTGGCAATGTCACTGATCATTAAAGATACGGAAGGATAATGGAAAACTGAGGTTTTTTTACTAATGCAAAATTAACAATACCTCGACCCCCATTAAATATACAGATGCCACCATCTCGTCCATCATGGATTTTATTTCTTCTTAGTGTAGGATTACTATCTGTCTTAATCCAGACTCCAGCCATTGCATTGTCAAATATTTCATTGTCTTCTATACAGCCTAGACCTGTAAATGCAAAAATTTAGGTTATGTTATTTAGAAAGTATATTTCTAAATACTACTAGCACTAAGAAAAAAATGAAAGATTAAACATACCAGAATTATAAACTAGAATTCCACCATTCTGTCCTCCCCAGATTTTATTGCGTCTAATTTTGGGGTTGCTTCCAGTCCTATAGGTAAAATAGAAAATAATGCCACTTCAGTTGCTTCTACACCCATATCCCATGTTAGGTAATAGTGGAAAAATCCACATTAATCACAGTAAGAATTAACTATATAAGAGCACTTCAAGATGCTCTGAGAAGTCTGTCAATAAAGAAATTCGTTTAATTTTGCTTAATTCTATTTCCCCCAGAACATACTTAGCTATAGATTATATTATTACTACAGAGTCTACTAATATGTAAAGTAAATTGAGGGGGTTAGGTAAAATAACTCATTATATTATATACTCCCCTCATTTAAAATAAAAGGTTGAATCAGGAGCTACTACAGTTCCAAAAACTGTTAAAATACAGGAAAAAAGGGTGTAAAAACTGTTAATTTTGCAGAAATAGCATAAAGAAGCATAAAAACAGCTCCCATTTAATAAGCCAGGTATAGCTCACAAATATTTTTATACAGCCTTCCACTGTCCAAGTATGATGGCATACACTGACAGCTGTTATGCCTGTCATTGTGGATGACAGAAAAATGGAAATGAGCTCTTACGGCATATGTGCCACTGGCTGCTGTCCTCAGTCTAAGAAAAGTTATATTCTGATAATTTAAGCCAAGAATGTGACAGAGTGTGAATATATATACAAAAGGAAGAATAAAGATTGAGCATTAAATAACCAGGAAATTTTTTCCATTTACCCCACATACTCACAACCCCTCAAAGAAAGCCAAACATGAAAACATTTACCTTATCTGAACCCCTGAATACATATGATTATAGATATCATTGTCCTCTAGCACTCCATGTCCATTGTCATAAAAATAAACACCAACCTAAAATTAAAAAAAATTTTTTTCAAATTAAAAAAACTGTAAAACAATGTATTTCCCATACAAGTATGAGTCCAACATAATCTTACCTGCTTGCCACTGTGTATCCTGTTTCTTCTCAGAACTGGAGTGCTGCCAGTTGTCACCCAGACCCCAGCCAGAGTATTACTATAAACTTCATTCTCTTCTATTACGCCTTGTCCTTTCTCATGCTAAATAAAAGTTACACTGATTACAATATGTATCTGGTATAAGCCAAGTAGTTTATAGTGTGTTTCCCCCTTTTAAGACAGTTATAACAAAAACCCCTCAATTTTCATTTTTTTATCTGGATAAGGAGGTAATGATAACATTCTTTATGTGGTTTTGTACTTTTAAATCTGTTATACTTAAGGGTAGTTAACATTCAATTTTCTTTAACAAAAAACCTTACTTCATTCTAAGACATATAACTGAAAGATCTCATTTAGTAAGTTAATAGTTATTTCAACTTATCACTGGTGAAATCACTTCAAAATGAGGTTCAAGTTACTAAAATTTTTATTTTTAGAAGATTTAAGACATGAACATTTCTAGAACTATGACTAAAAATTAGAGTCACATTTGGCATTGACTGCACAAGGACCTTTCTGAAATTTCCTACATTTTCTTACTTGTGTAACAGTTTCAGATACCATGGTGACAGAAGACACAGGACTAATACATAGGTTTTTAAATTTTGTAAGATGCTTACGAATATGGTCTATCTAAAGGCAGACATAATTCTGCCCTCTCCCAGTTTTCTCCCCTGATTTTGATGCATGAGATTCTAGAACTGTATTCATTAACTTACCACATAAATCCCACCATGCTGGCCATCATGAATTTTGTTATGTCGAACAATTGGACAACTGTTTGTCCTAATCTGAATTCCTGCTAATGCATTGCCTATTTAAAAATAAAAGTTATAACATCAACATACAGAGCCTAACTGAACCATAGTAAGAGTACAATTCTGTGAAGTACATCATATTCAGAAAGATACTTATGGTTCATGAGCATTACAAGACAAAACTAAGGGAACCAGGAGTGTAAAAAGACGCAGAAGGATTGTAGGCAGTATAGGCACAGCGGTTACGAGCAGAGACTCTGGAGCCGGGCTGTCAAGTTCTGAATCCCAGGAATTCTACTTACTTTCTGTGTGACTTTGAGTAAGTTACTTAACCTCTTTGTACCTTTGTTTCCTGATCAGTAAGTGGGGATATTTAATAGTGTCTACTTCACAGCGTTGCTACAAACATTATATGACTTAACTCAGGTAAGGTGCTCAGAACCGTGCCTGGCACTAAGCTTTAAATATTATCCAGGTAAGTGTTAGCAAAAGAGGAAGCGTGGGGACATATCAGTCTAGCACACAGACACCTGATAATTGTTTGCTTGATTAATACCTCAAAAGTTTTAATGAGGAATAATTATTTTCCCTTTCTAGTTAGTACTAAAGTATATTAAACTACCACAGAAATAATTTATTAATTGGTAAACAATGGAGTGAATCTAAGGGAACTGTTGATATTTCCTGAGACTGAGGTCTTAGTTTTATTTTCATCTCTGGTATGTACCATGGTGCCTAGTACATAGTAGGTACTCAGTAAATGTTTGTTATGTGAATAAGTATCACAGAATAATCTTTATTGAGAATTTAAAGAAACTAGATCAATTCCTCCTACTCGGATAATTTAAAAATCCATTTGCTAATGTCAGGAAGACAGATCAAGCTCTAAAATTTGATAGAACAAAACCACATGCTTACCATAAATGTCATTTCCTTCAATAAGGCCTCGTCCATCACCAAAGATGTAAACTCCTCCTTGATTTCCATTAAATATAGAATTCCCCCTATAATTATGTAAAGAAAACAAAAAATCATATATTCAGAAAAGCTTGCTTGTTTTATATAATTAATTGTAAGACCACTCATGTTTATGTGACATTAGCAAATTATTTGACTTCAATGGACCTCAGTTTCCTAATCTATGAAATGAGGGACTCAGACTAGATTATTTTCCTTCCAGTTCTTACTAAAACCTAAAGCTTTGGAAAAGCCACGTAGTATTTGAAACAAAATAGCGTTCTTAAAAATTTCCCTCAAAAGAGCTAACACATTTAAAATAACTTTTTTTAAGCTGAATTATAAACATTTGTTTCATACTAATAAGATGGAAATCACATAATCTACTTTCATAAAGCCAGTGAAAAAAAATTTGACAAAAATAATTCAGGGTCTTTGATTAAACTATAATAGCTCTGATGGACAGTCTCAGCCAATGCCTTTGAGACTGGGTCTGTTTGTTTCCTTACTGTGGCTAAAGGGAATGGTAGGAACTGTTAAAGAAAAGTGACAGCTTAAAGTTTTGACTTTTTGTTATTCTTGTTCTCTCTGTCCAATAATCTTTGAGATAATTAGTCTCCTGAGTTACTCTATCTGCTGACTCTCAGGAAAAAAATGAAAAGACAAGGTCATTCAGATTTCAAGAGAAGATTGCAGACCTACTTACTCATCTATAATGCAGTTTGATGAATTTAAAATGAAAAATCAGAGTATTTGCAATTTCTCATAAAAAATACCTTGCATGGCTTAGATCACTAATAAACAAATAGAACACCCCAAAGTAAATGCAATAGCCAGGCTCATTCAGATGCATAGACTTTGCTAGGAAAATCTATTTTATAGTACTCTGTTGTCTAGGAAAAATACTGAGTTAAAGCTAAGTATCTTAACTTTTCTTATAACAAAAAACAGAAAAATTAATTTCCATCCATAATTTATATACAAATACCTTATTGTTGGGTCACTATTTGAGGTAATCCATACACCTGCAAAGTTGTTTGCATAGATTTTATTCTCTATGAATTGTCCTCTTCCTTTTTCATGAACATATATTCCTCCAGTCTGTCCATGATGAATTTCACATCGAACCACTGTGGGGTTAGCGTAGGCTTTTACTTCAAAGCCTGCTATCCTGTTTCTGTGTATGTTGCAACTTTCAAAGTAACCCTGGGAAATACAAAAATTAAACCTGTAGGTAAGGCCATTTTGCAAAAAGAAATGACGTTACAGTCTTTTTAATGTCTATCTCAAAATTAAGTATTAGAAAGGTTCAAGAGTTAAAAATGAAAAATAGACATACACTAAATTTCAAACGATTAAATGTTTTAGTGAAATAGGACTACAAATCCTCTAAATAGTGTGAGTATATTCAAGCCAGGAATGAAAACTAGGGCAAGATCTATTCAATAAATGCAAACAAATACCATTATCCAGTGTGTGTGTGTGTCTGTGTGTATCTCCTTTGAGCAAAAGATTTATTTAAGTACCAAAGAAAAGAAACCCTCATAGCCTTAAAAATGTTCCAAGAAATCAACTTCTAAAAAGTTGACTTAAGGACATATACAGAAAAAGACATTTAAAATAATTCAAAATAATTCATCTTAACTCCAAATAGGGAACTAACTAAATAAAGTGTTGTTGAAGACTTCCGTTCATGTTATACATGCTATCATGTTAAATGAAAAGAATAGTATGTACTTCAAGATAGTATACATTCAGTATGATCTTAATTTTACCTGGGGAAAAAAACAACTTGAAGGATCAAATAATATGAGGGTGTGATTAACTGACTAGTATGGTATTATGGATGCTTACTGTATCCTTTATACTTCTCTAAATTTCTTAAATTTCTATAATGCATGTATTTTACTTATTTTCTATGAGAATAAAAATTACTGTAATACTGAAATCCTAAGTCCTAAGACTCAATCAGACTGAGTATTTTGAAAAATGAGATATTTATAAGATGGCATTTCTAAAAGCTATTTCACCCTCCTTGTCCATCTCCCTTCAAAAACTGAATGTGTTCTCCTCTCTTTAAATTCCTTTTAGCACTAAATATTTTCTTATGCTACTTCATCTACTGACTCGTACTGTATTTGTCATACCCATTTTTACCTGATCATAAGCTCCTGCAGAGATAGGACTATACTAACTTCTGGAGCATCTGTAGGAGACTTTATACATGGCAAGCAATCAAGCAGGATTTGATAAATGATGTAATTCTGAGTATTCTAATACACTACATATTTAACTCTTTAAAGAAAATGGATCTGAGAACAACACTTAGAAGTAGTTTTCAGGTTTCATTTCCCACAAATAAAGTGCAAATCACCTACAATTTACCTGTTAACATACAGATTACAATCTAATTCTTTAAAAAAGAAATTGAGGGGTTGCATCAAAAACAGTATCTTAAAATATTAAAAAGTCTTTTCTTCTTTGATTTTATACTAAATAAAAATGGATGTACAACAGGTGTACATACAGACTATTAAGGCAAAACTGAGCATCAAAGAAACAAAAATTTTACAAGAGGCTAGACTAAAAGAACTTAACATCAGATTGTAACAGTTCAACATTTCTGATGTTTCCATCACTGAGCAGGGATCTCAATTAGTTTCTCTCTGCCAGGAGTTGAATGACACATCTGAATGGTAAACTTGGGAAATAAATTGAGTATGCTCAATTCAGCTTCACCCTTCTCCTCGTGGAAATGAGCTGCCCTTGTGGAGCATGTCTTCTGTTACAACTCCATGAACACTGCCTTGACTAAGTGGGTAATCCTATCTAATTTGCGCTGTTCAGTTGAACAGATCCATTTGGTTCTCATCCTAAGCTGTATCTTCCAACTTAATCTTTAAGAGTATTGAAGCTGATACTTCAGCCTCTTCATGTTATTTCATGGCATAGATTTTATTTCTTAATTTGTTCAGAATATGACAGGAAAAGGTGTGCTATTTATTGGGCTTCCATGAAGATTCCAAAAACACGCCACTGTGATGTCCTGGCTGTACTAGTTAAACCTATAGTATTGCAAGTATACTTTGCTACAGTATATTGACTAAACATTTTTCAAATGTAGGGATGCTTTTTCTCTGTTCTTCTTTAGGTTTTGATTTTGCATAGTTAAGAGAGTTAACTAGATCCACAAGTTTATGAAGGCAAACAGCCCCTTTCTTTTCATTCTTCCTTATCCAGAGGCCCCCATTTTCAATTATTTAGCTAATTGTTTTGACTTACCTCCATATTTTTAAGTAAAAACATGTACAGCTTTATCCCGAGTTTTCAGTTTTAGGTATAATCTCCTAACTTCCTATTATGGAACATGAGCTTTAGCTCTCCTATCTTTTGATCCTCCATCATACATAAACACATTGTATCCTTCCAATGTAGTTACATCACAGTTTTGGTTAGTGTGCTATTTAGAGCTCAGCCATGAAGTATGACTACACATTCTTTGCTGTACAAGTTTTAATTTTCCCTGAAGTTATACTAATTATCTTGTTTTTCTCCTTTGCTTAGATCTCTAATGATAATTCTATCCTAAACTTGCTACCATTTGTTTAAATCACTTCTTAATATATTTAAATTCACATCAAGTTTACCAATTGATCATCCTGAATATAAACAGGTTTTATAACCTGCCTTAATCTGGACTGGTTGCCATGGTCACTGACACATGGTCATTTACTATACTATAATTTAGATTAAAGATGGTCCCCTAGTTCCATCAAAGATGGGAGTTGTAATCTGTATTTTTTGTTTTAAGGCAACTTTCAAGAAAAGAAGGTAGCAACATTTTTTTGAAAAGAAAATTTTTTTCTTCATGCTCTTAAAACCAGAAGCCTCTTACATTGCTACAATTGCGATTACATTCAGAAAGGGCAACCATTGATTGACTTAGTTTTATAATATCACAAGAAAACCTATCTATTATTATGTATTAAAGGATTCAGTTACTGTAATTTTGCTTTAAAATACATTTTAATGAAATGCATCTGTTTTGTTAAGAAATACCTTTAATGAAAAACGGTCTAATACAGAATCCTACTTTGCCTCAATTTAAGATGCAAACCATGAAAGCTCCAACATACATATGATTCCAAAGGCACAAACATTTTACTGGATTATCCCATATTACAAAATGATTTATTTCCCTACCAGAAGATACCACATTGCTAAGAGCTTCTTCTATGTTTTAAAATAAGAGCTTGTTAACTTCTCAGCGTAAGTATTTCTAAATCTGTGCCATAAACATTACTAAAAATCCTTGAAAATTATCATTTTATCAAGTTAAAAACAAAAATAAAATAAAAAATGAAGTTGTTTTTTCATTTAAAATTTTTTTGAAGTGAAACAGTCTTTATTACATTCAACAGAGTAAAAGGGATTCAAGAGTTTCTCTTAAAACTCCCCACATAATTTTTAAAAAAATGAAAAGTAGAGAGAAAAAAAATATGCTACCTTCAATGAAATAAACTTCTACAACTCTGAACTATAACCTACCAAACACTTGCCAAATACTACGATATCTGGATAAGAAAGAATAAGGTGCTGAGAACTACCAAATGGTAACTTACATCTTCAGCAAGGTACGCTTCCCCAAGTAACTGCTCTAATAAGCCTAGCCAATTATCTTCTCCTAAAGTGATGAGATCTATCGTCATGAATGGAACACAGGAGAGGAAGGAAAAACCCCCACAGTAATATTTTTGTAGAAATAACTTAGGCACGAGAAGTAAATCTGAAGAAGAAAACACACTAATGTGCAATTTCTAGCATCCAGAACTTTTAATTCCTATTTAAGGGAGACTATCCAAAGTAAAGTGAAATGAAAGAAGACAGTCATATTTCAACATAGAGAAGCTGTCATTTGCAATCTATCACGAGTTGAATTCATAAACTTAGAATAAATATCTCAAAAACTTCGAAACAACATAGCATTGTTATGATACTTTACTATTATTTTATGAAAATAATACCCTGTAATAGATTGAATATTAAAAAAACCAAAAAACAAACAACTGGGGAATTGTAAACACTGATAGAAAAATTATTTTTAGGAGTGAGATTGGTATTGTGGTTATGTAAAAGAAAAAGAAGGAATCCCATCTTTTAAAGAAAGTTACGTGTTGAAATACTTACAGGTAAGATCATGATGATGTCTGGGATTTGCTTCAGAATAATTGAGAGTAAAAAGAATAAGCAGTGCATGAGGGGGTAGAGACAAAATAAAACTGGCCCTGAATTGAAAGTCTGTGAAGGTGGAGAATGGGTGCATGGGAATGCATTATACTATATTCTCTGTAAGTTTATGTATGTAAGATGGATTCCATAAAACAAAAATACATTTAAAAAATCAGAGATAAAAACCACACTGGAAATAAAACAGAAAAAGAGACAAAACTATGAAGACATAGTATAAAGACACAGATTTGAGGAAATCACACAAAATTTAAAGGAAAAGAACAAACCAATACACAGCAATAAAAGTAATTGAGAAGACAGCCAAGTTTCTGAAGAACATATGAAACAGAAAAGTGGTAAAACAACACAACAACAAAAACCCACAAATGGGTACTAGAGTAGAGAAGCAAATCTCCACCAGAAAAGAAAAAAAAAAACAACAAAAAACCAAAAAACCAGAATGATCCCAGACTTCTGAGACACATTCAATTCTACAAATATTATATACTCAGCCAAGTTAAAAGGTAAATGGGTAGGCATTCTTGAGTGGCAAAAATTCAAGCTACAATACCTGTAAACCTTTCTTTTAAAAACAAACTAATACAAAATGGCTAGATGACAAAACTCAAGCCATGCCAAGAATGAATCAAAATTTAAAAAATTCAGAAATGGAGAAACTGTGATAAAAAGACTGAAGGTAAATACATATAAATACAGATCAATAACTATAGGAATGTAAATGTTACAAACCTTTACAAAAGAAAAATAAGAATACAAATAATGGAGCAGAGATGGGTTGAAATATAAAGTATGTTTATTTCCTCATTTTTCACTGGGGGAATTCATTCTGTATTCTAAAGTTTAAACATGCAGTTAACAATGACAAACTCTAGAATCATACCCTTTGAAATCCTCAGAGGTGTTCTTTTGTACTGGGCATGTAGTATTTTTACAAAAACATTAATTTCTTAGAAAAAAAATTTTTTATGATTTCATGCTTACAAATATAGGAATTAGTTTAAATTCTAACTATGTCACAGTAAGGTAAAGGTAAGACAATTTCAGAGAACCAACAATAAATGAGAATATATTTAAAGACAGAAGAGTACAGAAACTAGTTTAAATGTTTATTCTGATGTTCTCTGAAGTTTTATTAAAAACAAAGTCAAAATTTTTAAAAGTTTAACCTTAGTGATATCATCCTACCAATCATGGGCTGGCAACACAAAGAATACTTGGAATGGAAGAATATTCAACCAAAGGATTTTAAAGGATTGTATCATAATATTAAAACAGATGACAGGCCCAAGATATGCTTTATTTTCATTCTTCCCTTATATATTTATAACACCTTACAAATCTCTTTAATCCTTAATAGAATATCTAGCCATAGGATTGCCTAAGATTTGTTTTTAAAAAGTTATAAAATTTATAAACCCAAATCTATAAAAAATAAATTATCAGGGCTGTGTGATGAGTAAATTATAATGATGAATTTTAGCAAGTGACCATCAGCATTAGGCCTTTTAAAAATGAGAAAACTTACTCAGGTTAAAATAATTTTGGTACCTCATTTATGAATGAAACTAGAGGCAGGCATAAATATGATACCTGAATTGTATGAAACTGTGGGGCAAAGTCTAAAGGCAGCACAGAAAAAGAAATACTAGCATAGTATACTTCCTTTATAAAAGTACCATTTAGAGTTCCATTTAAGATTTATAGCCAGTACAGGCCTCTAAGGAAGAGCAGATTCTCAAGGTTTTTACAACCTCCATACGTTTGCCTGGACTCCCGAATTCCCATACCCTACCACCCTCTTCTCACTCCTTGGGAAAAAAGCCACAATTTGCAAAGAAATACCAATTTCTTTATTCTAGCTGGAGAAAAGTAACTGGTCATCTCCACTGTGCTTTCTTATCTACAAGCCCAAACTAAAGCCTAAGTTATAAGTGAAGTGCTTTTCTCAGGTTACAGCTACCCCAGGAATATAACAAACTAGATGTTCTGAAACTATTTAGGTATAATCAGAAGTTCATAAAAGGGTACTCCTCATGGTCTAGGTTCAGTTTTAAAAGAGTCTGGCATTAGGGTTTTAGGCACAAAGAAAGTAAAAAATTTCCTTCACTAATTGCATTTGTAAGTTGCTTGATTAATACCACATAATAGCAACAAAACTTCACCATACCCTTATTTGTCACCATGACAACACCTCATCTCCCATTTTCAAAAAAAAACTGTTGCCAATACTGTACTAGGACTTAAAAATTACTTCAATGAAAATTAGATATTAAATGAAAAGAATATTCAAGGCACCCAAGAACATTATTTTGAAATAGTGGTCTAAGAGCTCAAAAAGTCATGTCTCTAGAAACTGTATAAAATGATACAGTAGTATCTGAAACATATCATCCATAAAGATGCTTAATTAATTGCTGCAAAACAGTTTTAAAACTGACATATTATCATCACACTGTATTTCTTATTCAAGTTCTGCCTGTTAAAAAAAATTTCAAAAGGAATAAAATGGAAGTCAAATAATGATGAAAATATTTCTCAAAGTGTAGTCTCCAAAAAAACCTGCATTAAACTCATTTATGGTGCTTATCAAAAATGCATGTCCTAGGCCCCATCCTTAAAAATTCTAATTTATTGTTCGGGGTGATTTCTATGAACACTTACATTTGAGAACTACTGGATTAGACCTTACTCCCCTCAAAGATCACATCAATTCCCTAAGGACTCTATCTTTTCTACATGTATATTTTAAATGTTAGGTTCATGAATTTATAGAATTAACATTGCATATTGATTTTAAAATATGCTGAAATCTTCTTTTAAACTTACACTCTTCAATTCAGATAGTCTGGTGATAAAAAAAATGCTGAAACCTATTTGAAATTTAACTGATTTGAGGTCAGTTTTTCTTTAAGAATAAATGTTCTTACCATGCCATGATCAAATGTGAACACACCAACGTCACGTCCATGATGAATATGATTCCGTCTAATAATTGGATTTCCATGATTTTTAACCCAAATCCCAGCTAAAGCATTATTGGAAATTTCATTATCTTCATATATTCCCTACAACAATTAACCAGAAGTAAACATTAGTAGAGCTAAAAGGAAAGAAAAGAAAAGAAAAAAACCCCACAAAATTAAAAAATACCTGTGCATGATCTGTTATATAAAGTCCAACATTTTCACAGTCACTGATGTTACAGTGCTTGATAGTGGGACATGCTCCCTGACCACTAACACATACTGCAGAGCCAACTGTAAGAAGAATAATTTATTTAAAAACCTATTGGGCAACACAGTCACACATTTTATAATAAAACATAAAGGAAACACTAACCTGTACATGTACTTCGGATGATACAGTGATCAATAATAGGGCTACAATTTACTGTAATCTCTAAGCAGTGGTGTGCATTGTGGTGTTGAGCAGACTTGTCATCAGGGTTAAACTAAAAAGTGGAAATTTTGTTTAAAATAAACAACCACTTCCTTCTTAATTTTGACATACATACATAAAAATTAAAAATTTCCTACCCTTATCGTCATATATCCAACATAAGCATCCTCGGAACCTTCCATAAAAACAAAGGTTGAATCTCTAGTGTTTTCAATTATAACTTTGTCTGCTACTTTTCCAGGTGCTGTGAAGAAAATATTTTAAAGTATATTACCTTTATCAGACAGATAAAATGGAAACAAAAAAATTACTTTTTGAATCAGTAAAAATACTCTGGCATAAAACTAGTAACTCAGCAGAACCCTTTTTATTGTTTTTAAGTTGAGTATTTTTTTGGAGAGGGAAATTTTAAAGAACATTAGCACTGAGTAGACAATACTAATATTCATTTTATCAGATAGATAACTATGTTTTTTATTGGCCTTTACTATAGGCAGTCATGTTTAACATGGTATTATTTGAGTACTATTATACTCAAATCCACATATAAAAATACTCCTAAAAAGACTGAACTACAAATAGTATTTAGTATCAAATGCAATGGCATAGTAAGAAATGGGTTTCTTACGGAAACCAAATCACCACCAGTAGCACCAGAAAATGAGGGTCAGGGAGAAGAAAGAAGGAAGAGATGAGTAGGGAGAGAAAGAGATAAACTTCTTTATTTAAATTTATTTCCAGTACTGGTCTTGATTTGGAAAGTAATGAAAATCATTAGGCAAAATTTTTCTATACTCTCCTCCACTTTATTCTTTAAGGTGGAAATGGGAGAGGGAAGCAGAAAGGGCAGTAAATGCGCATTTCATTAACAAGTAACAATTATTAGCTATCTTAAAATGGTCTGTGTACTACTGTATTCTTAAAAAATCAGGGGTAGCATAAATCTTAAAATAACTGATTAGTACTCAACAGATATTTCATTACATTTATTCTCAGAAACTTGACCATAAAAATAGCTTTGAAACAGTACAAAGAAGTATTTAAAAGGTACATCTGTTTCAATAAAAACCAATAAAAATATTAGCATCTGTATTTTCCAATAAAAGATAAACTGAACAAGTATGTTCTCCTTAATGAACAGATTAAGCAGCTGAACAAAGTACTGACATCAAGAAATACACACGTCCAGAAAAAGAAATAGGTACATTTATAATTTCTGAACTCTAAAGTTTTCATTTCCATCATACAAAATATACATATTTATTTACTATTTTTTCCCCTACAATTAAGGTATTACAAGGTTCCTCTGGATTTTAAGTCAACAGCGTTTAAAAAATCCATCATGTAAGTAAAATGTTAAAATTCTAATGACAATACATTTCAAAATACCTGCACCAATCATGGTGATTGGAGATTCAATATATATCCATTCATCAGTATATATTCCAGAATGAACAAAGATAAGTCCATCAAAATGAGCTTCTTGTACCCCACCAAGGGCATCTTCAATTGTATCATAATACTAAAACAAACAACAACAAGAAGTCAGTACAGAACTGAAAGATCATCATTTTAAATCTTAAAAAAATACAAATCAAACATACCAGCATATTTTCTCTTCCTTTATATCTTGCAGGGTTACTGTAGAAATGTTCAGCAAATCCTGGCTTTACATGTGCACCTTTATACTAAAATATCAAAAACAAAAAAACAAAAAACCAACAACAAATATTGACTACTAATATAAACACTATAGTCTAAATTAAACTAGTACTGTATGAATATTTTTATTAATAATCAAAAACAAGTATCAGTTAGTCTAATTTTCTGTTGTACTCTGTAATGTAAATCTAGAACAGCTTATGACTCAGTAATATCCAGTTAAGTGGAAGAACAAGGTTTCTTAATCTGAGTACTACTGAGATTTGGGGACAGACAATTATTTGTTGTTGGGGCTACTCTGTGCATTGTAGGGTGTTCAGCAGAATCCCTGGTCTCTACCCATTAAGTACCAGTAGCAGTTTCTTCTCTAGCTGTGATAATGAAAAATGCCTCCAGACATTGCCAAACATCCGCCGTGGAGCAAAATCACCCCCAAGTTGGGAACCACTTGTAAAGGAACATATGAAACTGAAGCCAAATGTGAAACTTTAAATAACTACTCATAGGCTACTGATACTTACTGCCACTGTTTAAACTATTAATCAGTATGTCAGTAGTGAAAAGAATTGTTTAATCTTTTGATAAATGTCCATCGGTTTGAAACCTATTCTTGAGTTTAAATAAGATTTTTAAAAATTAACTTTTATTTTAAATATAAGTAATATAAATCAATATTTTCCATTTATACTTCATACCAACTGCTGGAAACTCTCTTTCCAGGGATTTGGATGTTCATATTCTTCTGGATTAATCTGGTAGAATTTGCCAGGTTCAGGATGCATCATAGGGCGGGTATATTCAAATACTTCCATGTATAATCGTTTCCTGAAAGGAAAAGGAATTAAAGATTTCTTCATGAAATGTCCTTTAAACCACTATAAGAATTATTTGAGGCCTCAAAAACTTATAAAAATATAAAAAAGCAGAATTTTATGTGTAAAAATATAATTTTTGGCTAAAACAATGTGACTACATATAAAATATACTCCACCCTAAAGAATAAGAAGTATGAATTCTATAAAATCTGACTGACTAGTCAGGAGTGGGAAAAAAGCCATCCTTACTGTAAAAGCCTCATATATTTATAATTTAAAAGGATTATTTTCAGTACTGATGCAAAATAATGATGTTTCATTTACATCCTAGTAAGAACCATCAAATCTTAGAAATGAAGTGGTAGTAACTATTATCACTTCCTATACAAAGCAAAATGTTTCTTCTGCTCTTCATTCTTTTTCCTTTCTAGCACAGATATAATTTTCCTTAAGTGTACCTTATTTTTAGCATCATAGAAGTGACACATATAGCTGCTGTAAAATACAGAAAAGTATAAAGAGATTTAACCTACACTTTCAATATATATTCACTATTAACAGTTTATTGTATTTCCTTTCCACTCTTTTTTATGTACAGTTTCATTGATACAGTTGTGGTTATATAACATATAAAATTTTGTTTTCTGCTCTTTTTAACTTTTTATAACATAGCTTTTTTCCTTGTTATTAAAAACACTGTAGAAGTCACTGTTAATGACTATATCACAACTTTCTAGGTAAACATTACATTATTTACTTTTAGTTCATTCCCTTATTGCTAGAATTTAGATTATTTCTAATTTCCCCCCACTATTAACAATGCTAGTATGAAAAATTTGTACATAGGGTAAACAGTTTTTCAGCAGTGGAACTGCTGGGTCAAAGGGCATGCATATTTTAAGGCTCATGAATACAACTGTCAAAACTATTTTCTGAAAGCGATATACAAAATATACATTCTTACTAAACTATCAGATTTAATTAGTTAGCTATTTTAAATTAGACTTAGTTCTGTTTCTAAAAAGCAATCTAATGAAAAACATTTCTTGTAACTGCTAAGTTGCTTTTAACTGACACATAGCAGAAAAATTACGTCCTTGTTTTATAAATATTGCTTAGACCAACAACCCACATTTGTGATAAACAGGTAACTCAGAATTTAAACATTCTAATTTTGTTCTGACTATTCAATTGTAACCACCAACTCACACTCCAACTTTCCTATCATCTTTAGCATTTTGGGCAGCAAGTAATATATCTCAATATAAGAAATAAAGTTTCACTTACCATAAAATTGGATCATTAGCAAGCTCACTGAAGCGTTTACATACACAAGCTGCTCTACAAAGATCCTGTTCCAGCAAGTAGGAGAAGATTTTTAGAACCACTTCATCTGGCAGTTTCTCCTGAAGATACTGTTCAGCAGGTGCTGCTATAAAGAAATTAACAGAATATAAACAACCTATTTTTTCAGGCTAGTAAAGGCTTTCTCATTATTTAAACAGTACAAGTTTCACTTTATCTAATGAGTAGCTTTTATTTTTTGATGATAATCATTTTATAAGCATTTTGCTTTCATAGATAACACACATTTATCTTCTTTTATCTTGACTTAACAGCATTCTTTATTTTAGCGAGTATGTACCATTTCAGAAACTGATTATATAAGTATACAAAAAAGATTTTTATTAAACAATTGAAGTCAAAGAGGGAGGAGGTCAGGGTTCTCATGTTTATTCTGTAATAATTACTTTCTTAATCTCAAATGTACACATAAAACTACATTTAATTTTTCAGTATCAAACAAAATTAAAAAAAAATTAATTTGCCCATTCCTTAGTTTTCCCATAGAAATACCTGATAGATCTTGTGATTTTCCAGAGACTCTTGCACGTTTTGCACGATGACCAAAAAAGTTTTCTGTAGTTGAAGTTGAAGCACCCTTCAAAAATAAAATGATAACTAGTTAAGTAATAAATATTTTTATCATAATCATTACTTTTAAAAAATGATGACAGTTCCCTTTTTGTTTCCTAACAATTCCTTCAATACACATCAAAAATAAACTTACTTATATTTAACTTAACTTATGTGTATTTAACTTACCTCCATGCTGCTCTTTGTAGGACACGCTGTTCTTTTCGGCAGAAGAGTTTTTCTGCGAAGTTGGTATGGACTATTTTGTGCACCAGGACCTGATTCTTCTGCAACCATATCTGCAGGTACATCATCATCTGTTATAAACAAAAACAATACAAAAATGACACCCATTTTTAAGAAAAGGCTCTATGGACGCAGTAAACTTTTAAAAAACTTTATAAAAAAAATCTGGGGGGGGGGGTAGAGATAATAGTTTTTATGTAAAATTCTATCCAACTGGATAATCATTTGAAAGAAGTACTGGATTTCTACTTCACTTACTTCAAAATGAATTCCAAAATAGACCATATATTTAAATACAAAATAAATACATAAAATCAGTAGAAGAAAAAGAAAGCTATTTTTTATAATGTTAAAGTGGAGAAGCTCTTTTAAAGTATGACACAAAACTTGGAAGGTATTTTTTTAAAAGTGAGGAGGATGTTCACTTGATGAGTGAGTACAAGTGAGTAGCACATGGTTAGAAACCAGGTGAGGTGAGAAGGGTGTCAATGGAGAGGGACAGTTCAGTACAGGGTATCAGATACTAAGTAGGATAAAAAGGGCATCCATGCAGAGGGTGGTCTGGCACAGGGTACTGGAGCTCAAGGAGGGTAAGAAGGAAGCCCACTTGGGGGAAGGGTGGCTTGGAATGGAAAGTCAGAGCCAGAGAAGGGAGAGAAGGGCACTGTAAAGGAGACAGGATGGTGGAACTGGAAGCATGGTAACAAACAAAAGAGGAATTGATCAAATAATTAAATAAGTAATGGAAGCCAGGTTTCTGTCAGAGAAGAGAGTTGAAATATAAAGAGAAAGCTAGAACATGGTGTTAGACTGGAATTGGAAGGATCAACGTGAACTCATTGTTTTTAATAGACAGACAGATTGAGAAATAAATACAGATGTAAATGTTTGGAAACGTGTGGATGTACATGCATATACTCCCCAGCTCTGCTCACTGACAAGAGCCTGGAAGCAATGCCACTCCAATAGCAATGAGCATGACTAGCATTCAGATCTTGGCTTCTGAATAATTTTCTATAAAAGGAATAAGGGCTCCTTGGAGAAATGGCTGATTCCAGGTTGGAGGAAATACAAGATGAGTCTGGAATTATCTTGCAGCAGAAACAAGGAAGTGCTTAAAAAATGATGAGGACATGTCAAAAGAACATCAAAGTCAGCCTGAATGGTCACCCACTAGCAAAATTATGTTGAAGCATTAAAATTTATAACCACAGTACAGGGATTATAACCCACTGAATAGACAACAACCCATAAATTCATACTACTATATATAAATGAATAAATAAATTGAAAGTATGATAATAAATGGGATGTTTAAAATACTCTCCCCCTCAAATACTTATTAAGTAGACAGGGAAAAACAGTAACTCTATAACAGAGCTGCCAATCAGACACTGTCTTATCAAGTATCAAAGTGAACATCATCATAAATAGGACAAACTGAAACTGTATGCCACCTGATAGCATATAGGATCACAGCATCACTTCTATGATATTCCTGACAAAGATACATAACTTAAAACTATATGAGGAAACATCAGAACAAATCTGAATTTATTATCATTTGTTCTGAATAATCTTCAAATTGTGAAAGTCATGAAAATCAAGGAAAGCCTGAGGAACTGTTCCAGACTGCAGGACACTGGGATTGAAGGATACTGAAAAGACAGGGCAGCTAAATGCAATGTGTGGTTCTGAACTGGATCCTTTTGCTACAATGTTGCTACTACAACAAGTAGTGAAACTTAAATGGGTGGGAGTCGTTTAAAGATTAGAAGACATTAATGTTTCAACGTTAACTTTTTGATTTTAATAGGTGTAGTGTGGTTATTTAGGAGAACATCTTAGTTTGCAGGAAATACACACTAAAGTATAAGGAGGTGACAGGACAAAGGCTAGGAACTTATTCTTGAAGGGTTTAGGGGGGAAAAACCATTCTTTGTACAGTACTTCTAAACTTTCCTAAGTTTGGACTGTTCAAGCTTCCTTATCTTCCTTATCCGAATGCCATAAATTAGTATGGAAAAGACTAATCATTCAATAGAAAATTGGGCCAAGGACACAAACAGAATTTAGGAACTACAAATGAAATGCTAATAAAAACTATAATGAGTTTTTTAATGTAGCAGATTATCCAACATCAAAAAGTTTTATCACATACTAGTATTATATACCAAAGGATAACATGAGGGAAAAAAAAACAACAGTTCTTAATTGCTCTACGGAGAGCAATCTGGCAATAGCTATCATTACATAGTGATTCCATTGCTGGGAACTGATTCTGCAGCTATTCACAAACACTGGCAAAACACTAAGTCCAAGATATTCATTCCAGTACTGTTTATAATACAGCTGGGTAACAATCAAAATGTTCATCAATAAGGATTTGTTAAATGAACTATGGTATAGCTATACTATTGATGTGGGCATTCCAAAATATAAAGCAGTTCTATATAGAACAGATAAGGAACTATCTCCAATATACAGTAAGTACAAAACCCAAAATATACAGAACGTGTTTGGTATATGTGTGTGTTTTAAGGATGTATATATATATCCACACACTTCTATATGCATATTATTTACTAAAATATAAACTCCATGATGAAGGAAGCCAATGTGAAGAAGCTCCCACTGGCCAAAGATGGGACAATTTGAATATCAGTAAGAATAACTAAAATGAACTGAGAGAAATATATTTCAATTTGTGAGTTTATAATGATACTTTTAAAAAGGGAGGGGAAAGGTTACTAGTGAAAGATGCTAGTGAAAATTAACCAATCATTTTGAAAACTGGTATGTAACAGGAAATAAAACATTTACTCTTCCTCTCTTATATAAACTGAACCACCAGGTAACCAAGTATTATATGAGGGGAAGCTTCTTTACAGAAACATTCCAGCAATAAATGAAAAAATAATAATATTAGAAATAATAAAAATTTGCAATCTCTGAAGAGTTAATGAATTTGACCATTGAGTATTAATAGTTCTAATACCACAAAAAGAAAGACCACCAGATATTACATACCTCCTGATTAAAGAACACAACCCTACCTACAAAAGTTTGCCAAAACCATCAAATCTCAATTTGATTAAAATTATTAGAAACTCTAAAAGATCAAACTATACAACTTTCTTCAACAGATACATTGCACAAGGAAAAGTGGGGGAAAAAATTAGCAAAACTAAAGCATACTGTTTAAGAATGTACACTACAGTATTAAATTTTTAAAGAAAAAAGCCAGAAAACGATTATCATTTTCTGGGGAAGGAAGAGGGCTATGATCAGAATGCGGCCATAAAAGGCTTTTGTAGTGGCTGGCAAAGTTCTGCTTCTTGACCTATTTGGTATTACAATATCAACTTTAATAATAATTCAATAAACTAAATATTTGTTTTATGTGAGTTTATCTGGTTAAATTTTGTGATAATAAAGGTGTTTTTAAAAGGTGGGAGATTGTTTAAAAGGTGGAGAGGTATAACACTAAAAACATGGTTTTTTTCCAACTGCAGATCGTAGGCACATTAACATTTTTAAGACTAAATTTTCTCATCTATTAAAGATGGTAATGTTATCTTATAATTCACTAGGCTGCTGAAAGAAACAAAAAAACATTCACAACGATCAGCAATAAGCTTGGCTCACACTGTGTTCAATAAATGTTTTACCTATTATTATTTCATTTAAATATTATTCCATTAACATCACTTTCAAATGAAACTTGGAAAGTCCAGTAGGTTTTCTATATACAACACTGTAATCAGAAAATACAGCCTGGGTATTTATGGAGCCATCCATCATAGTTTAATATGTGATTAATTTCTATAAATGTTTCATGTATGCTTGAAAGGAACATCTACATTCTATTTTTTGAGAGTAAAGTTTAAACATCTAAAACACCAATTGTTTTAATTGTGTTGTTCAAATATTCTATGCCTTTATGTTTTGCTGGGGGTAGTAGTAGCAGTGGTATGACTTACCGGCTTTTGAAGGAAATGTGCTAAAATTTCCCACTGTCTGTAGGTAGTCCATTTTTAGTATGTAAATTTTTGCTTTAAATACTTTGAGATGTTATTTGGACACAAAGGCTCAAGATTATTATTTCTTACTAATGAATTATTCCTTTTCCATCATTATGCAATGGCTCTCTTTATCCTTAATAATGTTATTGCCCTTAAAATCTATTTTTGCCTGATATTTTTCCTAAGAGCTTTTTGTTTTTTCTTTTATCAGCCTAGCATTGTTCAACTTTTTGCTCTTGGGTCACTATCTATATTTTAGATTTAGTTCTTCTTAACCATTTGTTGTATTTTCTTTCCTTTTCAGGCAAAGCAAGAGTATGTCTAATGTGCTATTTAACCCACCTAAAGCCAATTTCCATGACTATATTTTTAATTTCTGAAAGGTGATTTAGTTTTCTTTTTTGAGTCTTATTGTTTCTTTTTCATATTGGCCTGTTACTTCATCATCCTTCATTTTCTTTTTTTTTTAATCCCTTTGATCATTTCACACACATTTTATATTCCTGTTTAAACTGTTCTATCATTGGGCACTTTAAGAAATCTATGTACAATTAGGGAAGGTGTTTCAGGTTCTAGGCTGCATGTGTGGGTCTCAGTGCTAGCTGTATTTTGAAAAGGCTGAGGCAACACCTCCATTCCTCATATGCACACTAAAATTCCACCACAGATCTCTTAGGACATACATCCAGGACCAAAAAAACCCCTGTGCTATTACACCCAGCAACATCAGTTCCCACATAAGGTTTTGATTTGATTTCTCTCATACCTGGCACCTGCGAATTTCCTTCTCTTTTTTTCCTTCCTTCGAGTTTAGCTATGCATTTACAGTTTTGCTCTTGGTTTGTGTTACATTTCTATATGTTTGTTGTGTGGGGTAATATCTCTATCAGCTTGGTTTATCACGTAGTTAGTAGTCAGTTTCTACTATACTCAAAAGGACATTCTCAAACTTTCCAACCTATACAACCCCTCTCCCACCCCACTCCTCTTTAATATCTATAGACCTTATTATTATAGATACCCACCCAGACACCACCCTGGAATCCATCTTTCCTTCTCACCACCATCAACACAGCAA